AAAAACAAGTTTGTCATATTGTGTTGATAATTGATTGTATGCAAGACATTACGTGAATGTAACTTAGCAGCAGTAATAAAAAAAAGTAGCAACAACAACAATGTAAATCCAACAAGTAGCTGGTTAGTGTTGTGTCTCACATTGGAGCCCCAAACTCAACTGAGCAAAGATCACTGTACTTATAGTTTGTTCTTTTGTTGAAAAGCACATAAAGTTGCACACACACGCATGTATCCCTCTGTGTGATGTAAGAGTCAGTCTACTTAGCATTTTGAATTATGTTTTTATTTTTCACCAACACACAGGACTGTTTACCACCACAAGGGCTGCAGCTGAGGCAGTAAAACTGTCTTAGACGCCAAAAGAATACAGCGAAGCCGCACCTTCATTTAACAGAGGCTTAAGAAGGTATGTAGGTAACTCCTCTGAACTAAATCCAGTCCAAAACTTTTGGGGATATATGTTTAAAGAGGCTACATCCCCAAATAGAAGACACAAAAGAAGAAAGAAGAGTAAAAGCAGCCTGTATGTGTGTTGAAGAAAAATATTAAATGAGGAAAAGGAGAGCTACACGTTTAATATTTGAAGCAACACGTAAAATCTAAGAGCAGAACATTCCACTATATTTTAAACAACCACCAGTTTCCTGAATTTTTAAATTAATTTTCATCATAAATTTGAAAAAAAAAGGGGAGGGAAGTGCATAATCCTCAAAAAAACAAAAAAAAGAGTTAAATATTTAAATTTAACAGCACAAAGTCTGACAAATTCACTGCATTATAAAAACATTTTATTTTAATTTGTCACCTGGTTCTTAAACTTTGTTTTTCCTTTACATAAATTATGACATTTCTACCATAATACAGTGTCACACACCAAAGTATGTGTGTGACACTCAGAATGTAATTTATCGTCAGCCACCTCCCAGTGTTACAAAGAAATCATGCTGAGTGTTAAAATATAAGTATGCATTATGAATGTTGTTCTTGTAGCAGAGTATGTTTTGCACTTTGAT